GGATCCCTCATCTGAGCCTGTGATGCAAGTGTACCAACTGAGTTTACCAAGCTCTTGTTCATTTGCTTAAAGTCCATTTCCACCTTTGTAAGTGATTAGCATCTATTGTGGTAATGTAGAGGTGCAGTGAAGATGTATTTGTGTGTATATTTTCATGACTCACATTGCTGGTTTTCTTCATTTTTCAATGACCTTTTTATTGGGCCTGAATCCTAGACATTCAAGATTTTCTCCACAGGAAATCCAGTCTGACACCAGGGTCGGATTATAAAGTAGGCTGTAAATGGCTGCCCCCTCCCTGTGATAACAAGATCACTAAACCTCAGCTTTGCCTTTTCACACAATACACTGTCCAGGGGGAGGGGGGTGCCACTATGAATACTAATGAATGGGGAGAGAGAGAGCTCAGTTGTAATATACTGTACACACATTCCATGATGAAATAAAGAGAAAAGCTAACAAAAAATTTAATTTTCTGTGTTCCTATACAGCAACTGCACATGCCTGCTTCATGTGCACTTGGTGTACACTGCTGACATATGTTTTTAAAAAATACCTCTGCAAAAGGTGGAAATGGACTTTAAGTAAATCAGGCCCAATGTTTGGGTTTAACCAAAGTGAATAACCGGAACAGAAACAGTAATCTAGAGGGAATAAAACCGTCAGTGGTTAACCATAGTAAAATGTTGAGGTTGGGGTAGATGTGGAAAGCTTGCACTAAGGCAAAAATGAACATATCAACAAGGCACAGGTTGGTCATCCTTCTTCAGCAAGGTCTCTACCAAGCAGAAATTTCACGCCGGACAGCTGTGCCCAGATATGATGCCTGAGCTCTTCTAGAGAAACACAAACAAACCACATCTACCGCAATCTCAAAACCTTTTTTTGGTATGGTTGTCCCTGACCCAGTTTTGGAATGTCTAACAGTCCAACATATGCTCTTCTCTAATGACACAATAAGGTGGAAGACATAAAATGACTGTATATAACACTCCGATTCTACAAGTAATTGTGCATTTGTTTACTGCCAGCTTGCTCGATTTGCAATATCGACTTTGGCAGATTCTTTTGTTTGTTTACACTGAAAAACAATCACATATTGGGTGCACACACTTCGACTTCATTAACTTTAACTTCAAATGTCTCTTCGATTCTGCAGATTGGCACATCTTTACCTAATAAAAGTTTAGGAGTATCTAGCAGCATTTTATAACAAGCTGTCAATGCTGACATTTTTCTCTTAGCATCTATTCTTTTCTACAATATCTATAAACTTGCAGCCTTTTCTTTTCAGCTTCAGGTCAGAAATCTGTCTATACCTACAGTAATACCTGTTTTTCTAAGGTTCCAAGTTTTCAAACATTTTGTTTCATTATGTGAGCTCTGGGATTCACATACACTATACTTACGTATAATACAATTCTTTTTCACAAACAATATGCAGAAAAATTTTTATGATTCTTTGCATATTTAAAAATACCAGTTATGATCAAAATACACTACAAGAGACGATACATTTGCCCCTTTTGATCCCTTCAATGTGTAACAACTCTGCTACGTAGGCCTAGGATCACAACTGCGGAGTGGGGATTTCACGGTGAGGTCAGCAAGTGGTCCCTTCAGCACTTTTAAATAAGAGTTCAAGACCTTTACATCATATCTGACCGTGGATTTGAGTTTAAGTAGTAACTATGAACTAGAACAGACGGGGTTAATGCGAGAGAGTGACACCCGGTGGTGAGCTCTGGTATTACACTTACTATGATTAGTGGACAGCACACATAGGGATCTTATCAAGCAGATATGTAATGATTGAGATGAATAAAGATGTTCTCTTACAATATCACATACATGTCCAGTATAACATCAGAAGGTTGTAGACTAGCTATAACAGTCCTAAGCACACACTGTAATTGTATATACTGAATTGATTAATCAAGATATGCAGTTCCAAAATGATCTGAGTTAATGGCAGACTAGCCCAGATACTTTCGGTTTAGGAGTCTCTATCTGAAGTCCCTTTGATGGTCTCCTGTGGCTGAGTGTTACTTGCACCAAGGTGTCACTCCGCAAGGTTTAGGTGGAATTTGGATGAGAGGAGCCGTTTCAATGGGGTTCGCCCACGCTGGTGTGCTGCGGCAATGCTGCTCTCGGTCCCTGTACGGTCTGCGGTTGCAGAGTGTGAATCTTCGGCGTTCACTGTTGCAAACAGTAGGACGCCAAAGATTTGTTTGGCCTCGACTTAAAAAGCCTGTTGCGCCTGCGCCGAAGGAGAGAGCCGGGCCCGCGGTACGCATGCGCGGTCACGGATCGCAATCCCGGAACGGAAGCCGGTAAGTCTCTTACACAATTATTTAAATGTTTTATACTTAAAGGATTTCTAAAGTCACAGCATATACTGTTCTGTTATAACATTAGCATTGTAGATACATGAGGTAAGCCAGGAATATGAAAAATTGTTACCAACTGTTACTTTTCTGGCTCTTCTTCAGCAAAGTTTTCTCTCCTGGTGGTTTGTCTCAAGACCTGTTTCTGGAACACTGGGGAGGGGATGCTGACCTGATGGAACTTTAGGCTTTAGTGAGAGGTTGTCCTGAGATGTCATGGGGGCATTATGTTAAGTATCTCATTAAAATTTTCCATGTTTCAAATAACTAAATTTGAAAAGTTAGGGGCTGATGTACGATAAATGACTATGGGGTCTATTCACGAAGCTGCCGAAGGATCTAGCCGTAGCTTCGGCCGAGGGCGGGAGGCTCCCAGAGCTCCCGGGAGATTTTTCTTTTTTTTTTACGGCAGCAGAACCGCCGGACAATAGAAAACTATTTTCTTTTTCTATTTACTTTTTTTTTACTTTTTAAACTATTTTTCTGTTCTGCTCGGTCCCTCTGAGGGACCGAGCAAAACAGCCGAGCCAATGCCGCTTAGCGGCATGCGGCTTTTCACTCACTGCTGTTCGGCATCTTTAAGAATAGCCCGAACAGCAGTGAGATCCTTCTGCACTTTGGGTCAGCCGAACATGTGCTACAAAAAATGTGCTACAAAAACTATTCCCCTTTGCACATTTTTTAATATATTAGCTCTCTACTGTTCCAGTACCCTAATGACAAAGAGATTCCCTGCAAAGATGAGTTCTGGCAGTGGGAGAAAAGCAAATACAAAAAAGTATAAAGTAGGAAAAACTAAAGCTCACCACACACACATTAGAACCTGATTGTATCTCCTTTAGATCTACCAGTGTGAGGGCTGGTGCAGACCTAGACGATCAATAACGATGTTACATTGTTCAGGTGTTAAGTTGTAGTACAGAAGGCAGGCTTTGTGAGAGTTGTGACACAGGGTAGTGCATATTCACAGGGCTGAATCAAATTGTGGCAGTGCATTGAGGAAGTACATCCTATAGGCATCTTCAATAAGACAGGCATCTTCAATAAGTCTACAAACTTCTAGACCGATACAGTTATTAGGAGTGGGATAGAACTTAAGGAAATTCAATATAGAAGTACATATTTATTTTTAATTTTTCCTTAGCCCCCCTGCAAATTCCCACAAATTTCAGTTGCTCCTGCTAGGAAAGTCCACCTAATGCTTCCTGTGATGAGTGGCAACAATGCTGCTCTGCTCCTGAATTTGGAGTAGGGCTGCCACACTCGTGTAGTAACTGGATTTGTTACTTGTTTACACTGCCATAGAGGAGTCTTTAGTTGTACTTGTTTTTGGTCTTTAAATCTAAATCCAGATTTGTCTGAGTGAACACATGTTACATGTTTTTGCCTACATCATATATCAAATGAACAAAGATATCCAGGATCAGGAAGGGGGCACATATCATCACATTGTTTTTCAAACCAAACTCCAAGTTGCCCGGGTCTGTGAAGTCTTCAATGGTCCCCAAA